CTGATTGCCTCAGCTCTTCCTCTAACACATCTCTTATTCTTGCTCTGATTTCCAGGCACACCTCTGCTATCTTAAGGCCAGTGGAGACCCTTCATCTCCCAGTCCTTTACAACCCATTTAGAGAGGGTAGATTCACCTAATTTTAGTGGCCAGCTCAGGGAAGCTATGGTGGACTTGGCTGGCACCTCACAGACATTTCTGAGCCTTGGTGCTCCGGGTCTCTGTTCTGCAGCTTCATCTACTTGACAAAATGTTGTATTTCTAAGTTACTTCAGGAGAGAATGCTGGTTTACTAAGTATTGCTGTAGGAAGGATGTACAAGTAATGGCCTCAAGTTGTGCCAGGGGAGGCTTAGATGGGATATTAGGAAAAATTCCCTTATGAAAGAGTGGTCAAGCACTGGAAGGGGCTGCCCGGGGCAGTGGTGCAGTCCCCATCCCTGGAGGGGTTCAAAACCGTGTGGATGTGGCACTTGGGGACATGGTTTAGTGGCCATGGTGGGGCTGGGTTGATGGTTGGACTGGATGATCTTAGAATCACAGAATCACAGAACTGATTTGAAAAGGTTGGAAAAGACCTCTAAGCACTGAAAACTCTTGTAAAAGTTGTAGGGAAGATGATTTGCTCATTAATTTTGTCAGTAAAACTGGACCGCATGTTAAAATTACTTTATAATTCAAACTAAGCTTCTAGTTTTAAGGCAAAGACAAGAAAGACTCCATGGGAAATTTTGAATGCTTGGCGATATGAATGTTTGAAGAAAGCATAATTTCCTTTCTTTAAGACAAACCTCCCATCACATTATGAGGATTTTGAGGAAATATACCTTCAGACGCTCATTAAACCTTTTAATTGAGGTGAAAGTGCTCTGTTGTCTTCCTTGGATGGACCCACTAAAGTAGGAGATGAAATGTCCAGTTTAACTTCTGATCAACTCATGTATTAAAGCCAGCTGCTGGGTTTATGAATGCATAAGTGTATATGGGCTCACTCTAATCCTGTGCTGAAACCTGTGAGAACAACGCTTGCATGAGATGTGTCAAGAATACTCTATTATACTGTCATTAAAATGTACACACATTCCTGCATCTTCATGTAACACAGCAACATGGAGGAAAACAGAGTACTAAATAAAACCCTCCATCAAACCTGGCTTACCTTTTTTCACAGGTAATAATTGTGACAGCAATAACACAGAGGAGGATACGGTAATTTTAAAAAACTGTATTTGGTTTAAACCAGTTGGGAAACATTCCTCTGAAACCAGGTTTCTTCTGTATCCCCTATGTCCTTGGCACATCGGGTAAGATAGTGCCAGGATATAGGTCAGTGTGCCAAAGCCATGTGTGACATTTTCATAGTCAAAAGCCAGCTGAGCATCATCTCAGCATGTTGGCTTTTGTCTGAAGCTGTTCTTCTGAACACTTTGAACCTCTCTGTCTGGAGATTTTCCATTTAAATCAGGACTGTTTGCATAGTGTCATAACAGATTTTCTAGCTCACCCTGCTGCTGCGAAGCAGGGCCAACTATACTGAAATATTTCTGGCGTAACTTAGTCTAACCTGTTCTTAGCAACATCAGTCTCTTAAAGCAAAGCATACCTGCAGTAATAAATGGCAATTTGTAACCTAAAGAAGTACGTTATGGTGCATCATTTCAATAGCTCCAGTGTTTTATATTACAGCATTTTGCATTAGAGCAGAGTATTTCCGTTGGAAGGAACTTACAGTGACCATCCAGTTCAACTGCCAACCGCTTAGGCTGGGTTAAGCTTTGCTGCAGTCTCCTTGATGGCCAGTGAGTTTTGATTCCTAACATTCTAATTTGACTTGTAACTTCAGTATCTTCAGTTGTTTTACTTTGAAGCTTATCCAAACAAACAAGAAGTCACCTTGCTTTCCCTGCTGGTGTCCTCTTACCAGGGTAAGGCCTGTGTCGAAACACTGGTGTGTGCCTTTGAGGTTACCTCTCTACTAATTCAGTGCATGCATGTGAATGGAGATCCATCATTACCTTCAGTGAGGCAGATTAAGTCTTCTTCGATATGATTTAGCAAACAGACGTGGATGAGACTCTGTTCTGGGAAAAGCCTGTTCTGACAGCAGCTTGTTTTGAAAAAACATGCATAAATAAAGCAGGGCTTGTTCTGTATTTATTGAAAACATGTCCTCTTCTCTTTTGCTCTACATTTGTCCTAAGCTGTAGTCTAAACTAGCTTTACAAATCCGAGAGTTTGTGTAGTCTGTTTCCTTAAACTGTTTTTATACCTCTGCATGCTGTTGACTTGACACTGCAATCCATCCTTCGATTTTAGTAAAATTACTTGCTAAGCTTCTGCAAGTTTACACAGCTTTTATGTTCATATGTTCGTTCAAAAATCGTACAGATGTAGATTCTTACAGGACATTTGTTTTAGAAAAGCAAGCACTATTTGATCTTGTTCCAGTTGGTGAAGCCATGGTTTAAAGGCAAATAGTAGCACTTTTCTCAGAGCACAGACAGAGGCAGAGTTCCAATTAGAAATCGGGTCTTCTGACTCCTTACCATGTGCTCAGGTCACTAACCCCACCCTCTAGTCAGAAAGGGTGAGGTAGCTGCTAGATGGAGTATCTACACTGCTTTTCCAACACCTAACTGCTGCTTAAAATCTACCCCTAAACACCTCTGGGATGTTGACCACAGGTGTCCCTTCTGCATCAGCTTTGGAAGAAGACTGTTATACATCAGCTGCTTGAATAGCTGCTTTAATAGAGTCTTCCTTTGTCTTAATTTATATCATATAAAATAGCTTAGGATCAACAATTCCACTTAGACTTAGAGCAGCTATTACTAGTAGCTGAAAAGGAAAGACTTAAACACAGATCTTCTTAGGAAAAGAGTTATCTTATATTTTAGAGATAAGCAAGCCAAGCACAGTAATCCGTTGAGCTGTTTAAGTGACACAATATTTATAAGAGCATTTTATGTTCCCTACCCTGAACTTCCCATCGTTTTCTTAAATCAGTACAACACATCTTCCTTTGAAGATGGAATCAAACAGGCCATGATTTTCCTGTAAAGCTGTTATTAACACTTCGCCTGAAATACGATTGGAGTAAGAAACAACATTTATACTAGCAGGGAGGAAAAGAAAACCCACAAAAGCTGTTTTAACTCTACCAGCTCGTGACTTGTCATTTGTGTGAGTCATGGTAAGGTGCATGGCTGGTTCAAATGATTGTACCATACTGTTTCTGTCCTAGGAATTCTGCTCTGGGCATCTGAGCCTTGGATCCTGAGATAGTTTTGCTGAGTTACCTCAGCTGTGCAAAACCAGCCCTCAGACTGCAGATTTTGTGTTGATTCACAATATATACAGTGGTTATGGGCTCCAACTCATGTAAATTGGTTGATTTCCATACCATCCATGGAAGTTACGTTACACTGAGTTACACCAGCCGGGCCACTCTGGGAATACTGGAGTTTATTTAGTTCGGTAAGAAGACACTGTGACTTGGATTTAAGATATTTGCCCATAGAGGAAAGGAGGTTCTAACTGCTTCATACAACCTCTCTGCCTTACATTTCTCCTGAGAGTTGGGGTTGTTCAGCCTGGAGAAGAGAAGGCTCCAGGGGGACCTTATAGCGACCTTCCAGGACCTGAAGGGGCCTGCAAGAAAGCTGGAGAGAAAGTGTTTACAGGGATATGTAGAGATAGGATGAGGGGTGATGGTTTTAAACTAGAAAAGGGGAGATTTAGGTTGGATATGAGGAAAAAGCTCTTCACCATGAGGTGGTGGATCACTGATTGCCCAGAGGTGGTGCAGGTCCCATCCCTGGAGATATTCAAGGCCAGGCTTGATGGGGCTGTGAGCAACCTGATCTGGTACCAATGTCCCTGCTGACTGCAGGGGTTGGACTGGATCAGCTTTAAAGCTTGAACAGCTGAGTTCCTAAATTATTTAATAAAATAAAATGGTTTCTATTGGGAGTTGTAGCCCATTTCACACTGAAGGTGTCATCACATTGTATGTTCAAATTCTACAGAATCAGTTTACAGTGCCGCTCTGATCAGATGTTGTAAATCCTTTTGCTTTAATTTCTGAGCAAAACACCAAAGGCACCTTGGGAATAAGTCCAGAGAATGCAGCTGAAGTGACTGTATTTTAACTGTAATCTGAGCTAGGTCTGATATGAAATTAATCAATCCAGTTTCAAAGAAATTATAGGATGCACCATGGTAAAATTACAGCAGGGATTTGGTTTAAAAGGAATCCAGCATCTTTAAAACCTGCGTGTGGTGCCATTATACCAGTGGATGCTGAGGAGCCTGGCCTCATCCTGCCATTGCCAACACTGGCAACAGAGAGTGGGGAAGTGTGGTGCTGAGACACCTGAGTTATTTGGGGGCGAGCCAGCTTTGATATGGATGCCTTGGTAGCTTGACACAGTGGTTGGGCTAATGAGTTTGGCTGGAAGTCAAGGCTTATTGCCCTGCCAGAGCTCTGATGTATTGCTAAGGTCACACAGGCTATACATGGCAGTCTCAGACTGGGAGGTCCATCGTTGTTCCAGGCATGTGAATGCCTTTGACCTCAGATACCTAGTATGGTGTGGCTCAAGAACAATGTATGCTAAAATTTGTCAAGCTTCTGGGCTTTAAGAACATTTTCAGAAGTGATGGTTTTGTGAATCCATGCAAATAATGTTGGTGAGCACTGTGGTTTGCAAAGCGTTTTCTGTTTCTGTCAATACCAGGCTGGGGAGTGATCACTGATCATTAACAGTTTAATTTGCTAGCACTTCTAATACTATTAGTATTATGATTTAATGACGTAAATTACTGCCAGGGTGTCTCACCAAACACCACCTTGTGTAATTTGTATCCTAACTAGTAAAAAAAAATCATATTCTTACTGGATAAATGGATTTCTGCATCCTTGTAGAGTTTTTGTGTGTGCAACTGTCCTGTCCAGTTCTAGAGGCAATGGGTGAAGCAAACCACTGAGATGGCTTGCGTATGGATGGACAAGACACAGATGAGGAGAATCGCATCTATGCAAATAACATGGTTTATGTGAGAGGTTTGAAAAAAGTCTTTAGGAAAGTTGTATGTGAACGTCACGGTCCATAGGGATTTGATTTTGACAAGGTGTTTCCACTTTGTGTTTCAGTGGCTGTTCCCTCCCCAGTGCCAGCCTGCGAGCCTGAGCCCAAACCGAACGGGCCTCACGCAGCTCCACGCCTCTCGGTTCCCTCCCGCGCCACTGTCGTTGCTACCATGGAAGCCCCTTCCCAAGGCCTGCAGACAGTCATGAAGTGGAAAACGGTGGTGGCCATCTTTTTCGTGGTGGTGCTCTACCTGGTGATCGGTGGAGTGGTGTTCAGTGGCCTGGAGCGGCCCTTCGAAAGCCTGCAGAAGAACACGATTGCGCTGGAGAAGGCCGACTTTCTCCGGGAGCACGTTTGTGTAACCCAGCTGGAGCTGGAGACGCTGATCCAGGTAGGCCATGGGGAGAAGAAAATGTAGGAGAATTTAAGAAAAACTGCGTGGTAATTCATTGGTCAGCTGAAGTAGCGGGGAACATTGTCCACAGAGCCCTTACAATGAGAAATGCGAAGAGCAGGCTCTTTCCTGGTTATTTCAAAGTCCAGGAAACAGAAACTGTTTCTCCAAAACATGCTACACAGAGGTTAAATATAGAATAATGAAAAATGTGTGCAAGGAAAATCAGAATTTAACATCTAGAAGAAGTTTTTGTGAGAGGTGACAGATGTGTAAGACGTTTGCCCATCGTCTCTGTAAATTTTCCAATGATATCCAGCTCTTAATTCTTCCTCCAAAGTTAACCTAAGCCACCAGGAGAGCAAGCAGAAAATGATAGGTGGGAATTTTGAAATAAATATTCAGCCAAGATTTCTGAACTTACTGGTATATTAATTTACAGGTTTACTATTGCGAATTTTAGATAAATGAATGATGATGAAGCATACAATCAAAAATAGAAAATAATTGGCGTTTAAGAACCGCAGAAATTTTAGTCTGGTCTAACATGCAAAGCTTTAGAATCAATTTTGAAGGAAAGAAATATCAACTAGGTAGGGGTAAGTGGAAAATGGAATAACATGCAAGAAAGGTCTGCCAAAGACAGAGTTATCTTCTGTGAATCAAAACTCTAGACAAGGGAAGTGTGGAAACCTATCGGTTAGCCTGGAGAAAATAGAGATTAGATAGGAAATGTGAGCTACCTAAGGAATATATTGCAAAGCTGGACTTCAGTCTTGTATTTCAGACCTGGATTTGTGTCTGAGCCTTCCAGGAGTGCAATGTGTCCCCCTCTGGGTGTTGCACCAGAGCTCTGTTGTGATTTCAGGCTGTTTGAAAGAACCCAGAGCTACCCCTGGTTTCCTGTGTCCAACCACCCAACTGTGTTATAAAATACTTCCTATAAGTGAATCAAACTTAAAAGCTTAGCATTTATTTTAAGAAGCGGTCCTGGTATCTCATTGCTGTGATGGAAAAACACATTCTCCTACTTTTCGGCCTAAACTTGTTCGGTTCTCTTGTCGTTGGTCTTCCACAGACAACGTCCCATTGCCAATTGATTCCCCCCGTTGCCCACACGTGTAGACAGCGAGGCTCTTCTGCCTCTCCTAAGCAAAACAAGCTCTTTTTGCTTCTTTGCAGATAGATGTGGGCTCTCCCTGCAAGACAGGTCAGTCCTGAGCCAGAGGCTGTGTGCCCGTACCTTTGGGCAGCCTGGTACTGGAGCCAAA